TGTACAGATACCACCTCAGAAACCCAAGGAGGGATCACTATGAGTCAGATCTGACTCGATGACAATGAGTTTGGTTTGGTTTGGTTTTACCAAACTGTAGATTCTGCTACAATTAGTATTTTTGCCTGAATATTTGAAAGTTTTAATAATTAAAAGCAATGATTTGACATTAAAAAAAAAAAAAAAAAAAAAAGGCCAGGTTTGCTTGGTCTGATAAGCCCTGGTGAAACCCCTAAGACTATGGCCCCTAGTGGCCCTTCAGGTCTGGAATTGAACTCACTCCTGTGGCTTCCAGCCAAATAAAAGACAGGTTGAGATTTACATCAGGTAGATACACTCCTTGGAGGGATCAATCATAGGAGAATAGGAGGGCTGTGTATGCACAGGGAAATGGCAGGGGCAGGGGACGGGGGGCAGGAGTGCATGGGAGGGAAGGACATAGGGAAGGGGTAACTATGGGGAGGAAGTGGGAAGAGAGCTGTTACACTGTGGGAAATTGCAGCCAATGTCATAAGACAAAATGTGTATGAACTGCTGTATGGAAAATGAATTTGCTCTGTAAACTTCCACCCAAATCACAATAAAAATTTTTAAAAAAATGTACTGATTTGGGATAATTTCTCTGTGATCTTAGATAAATGAGATGGCATACTATTTAAAGAAGATAGGATAGTATTCAGATTTTACACTTGTGAATTGTCCATTGAAGGAGTAGTACAGGATTTATAAATGACAAGCTTCTTAGAACTGACACAAACTTAATAAAGTCAAAGGAAAAGATCTATAATCCCCAAATAACAAATGTAGTCTATGTATAGTATGTATGAGTGTGTATATATATAGTATACTAATAACCCACCAGCCACTCCTCGGAAGGAAGGTTGGGCAATCCTACTTCCGTAGTGATAACTGCCTTGGAAACCCAAGGAGGGGTCGCTATGAGTCGGGGCCGACTCGACGGCACATAACAACAACAACAATATACTACTTACCAATTTTGTTTTTTCCTTCTTCATACTTTATTCTTTGTAAAATATGATGCACAATTCTACTTCTTGTGGCATTGTTGAAGAAAGTGTCTTTGTTGTGTATGATGAAGCTGTACAAACATATTGAAGACACAAGTAGAGGATTAATCAGAGGTGATGGATTTAACAATCTTTGATATAATTTGGTGTTGCTCAGATGGAGGTGTCTTTTCAATCAACCATAGGAAGGCTATGTCTGGAACAGCATGAGAGAGTCCAGAGATCACACAGAGGCCACAGGCTCACAAGTCTGAGTAGTTTTGGTTCACAGTATCTTGAGCATTAACCTCATTACGTCTGGAAGGAGCTGGAGCTAAATAAAATTAAAAAACCTTAAACTAACAGAAGTCTAGGTCTCCTATCTTTTTTCTCAGTAAGGCCATTAAATAAATTCAACTGAAGATTCACTTTGTTTTTATCTTCTTTTATACCGCCCCTTCCCATGTCATAACACACTGTTGCTTCAGGAGATTTAAGATCTGAAACTGGCAGAGTTGGGTAATAAGCTCTGGTCTGGCTCTGGGTGAAATGAGAGCCAAGTCTACCCCTTCGTCTCCCATGTTCTTTCCCGAATGGGATCCCTCCTCCAAAGCACACTTAAGGTTGCTTTCTCAGTCAGTGGCCAACTTGCCTTTAAAGTTTGCCACAGGGACTCCCACACAGCCTGATGTTGGGTTTTCCAGGATTATTGCTACCTACTGAGGGTTTCTGCACATGATAGAGGATCCAGTGCTTGTTGGAGAATTATGGTACCTAACCCAGCATGAAGTGCCCATGCCATCCATTCCCAGGACAGTGATAAATGGTATCATTTTACAGATGTTATAATTATTTCATAAACTGTAAAGTATATTAACCTATCAAACATTTATTGGACACTCCTATGAGTTGGACAGGAGCTCTGCTAGGATAGTGCCTAAGGCACTTACTTGACTGCTAACCAGAAGGCTGGCGGTTCAAACTCACCAGCCAATCCTTGGAAGAAAGGTTGGGCAATCTACTTTCGTAGTGATATCACCTTGGAAACCCAAGGAGGGGTAGCTATGAATTGGGGCCGAGTCGATGGCACATAACAACAACAACAACAACATAAGTTGTACACTATGCAAGGCATATAAATGCTGATAGCCATCACCCTGAAACCGAGCTCTGAAGTCTCCTCCTCCAGCAAGTCTCCCCACCTCTCTAACTGCACTCTTGCCCCCAAAGAGGTCAGTACTTTCTCCCTTGTACTGTCTCTTATCTTCTAAGTACATTAATGCATTTTTTTAAACTGTAATATTTTTGGTATTCAATTATTTACACATACAACAATGATTATTGATGGTATATGTAAAGTAGTGATTAAGCAATGGTAAACAATATGGAATGATGCATTTGAATTATAACTCACTGCCGTGGAGTCGGATCCAACTCATAGCGACCCCTCCTTGGGTTTCTGAGGAGGTATCACTATGGAAGTAGATTGCTCAATCTTCCTTCCGAGGAGTGGCTGGTGGGTTTGAACCGCCAGCCTTCTGGTTAGCAGTCAAATGCCTTAGGTACTATGCCACCAGAGCTCCCAAATATTGAGTACACCATGGAATGCCAGAAGAACAAACAAATCTGTCTTAGAAGAATGCTCCTTAGAAGTGAGGATGACGAGACTTCATGTCATGTACTTTGGACATGTTATCAGGAAGGACCAGTGCTTGGAGATGGACCTCATCCTTGGTAAAGAAGAGTGCCAGCAAAAAAGAGGAAGACCCTCAACGAGATGAATTGACACAATGGCTGTAACAATGGGCTCTAACACTAACGATTGTGAGGATAGTGCAGGACTGGGCAATGTTCCATTGCCCACTGGGTCGCTATGAGTGGAACTGACTCAATGGCACCTATCAACAATAATAAAAAACAATAAACAAAATTGATAAGATTCCTGTCCTTGAGAAGCTTACAGTCTAGCAGGCAGGGAAGATAGACCATAAAGCAAAATGAACATGACGGCATGACAAACAAGAGCAGACTAGACTTACTTTTGCATGCCTTTCTCCCACACAGGACTAAGACCTCCTTGGGGACAAGAGGTTGAATCATAACAATTTCTGTAGCCCCATGATCGAGTGAATGGCTGGCACAGACTACAGGTTTTTGAATAGGAGTATGTGAGAGTCATGGGGTTTATGTTGGGGAAATCGTTATTAAATGTTTATATTTTCTTGAAGATAGAATTCCAAGAATTGTTCAAATGATGAGACGAAGACAGAAAACTGGACCAGAGGAAGGGTTTGGTTTGGAAACAGGGTTGGGAATGTGAGTATGGGAACAGGTAACAAAGAGAGCAAGTAATTTAAGTACAAATGTAAATCACGGTAAGCCATTACTTGAGAAGTATCTTTTTCTTGGATTTTGTTGCAGAATATTGTTCTCAAAAAAAGTAATTTCACTTGGTAGATGAGAGATAAATGTTATGTGGGTAAATGAGGAAGCTGAAATATTTACCTTATACTTTATCTAGAATTTTCTGGAAACATTTTATGGCGTCAAAGAAGAAGGGGGAAAAACCTAGAGTTCTATCAAATGTTCCTTTTACTTTACCCTTCTCTGCTTTTTCACCTTATTTGAGACAGACCATTGCATTTTAATACCAAATAAAGATGTCATAAAGAAATAGACAACAAATAAAAAAGTCCATTTTTGGCTCACAATTTCAGATGATGTATGAAAGCTGATAAGCACAACCATGCTTGACAAGACAATTCAGGGCTAAAAGCCCATCACCCTCCTCCATTAAATGGTTTTCTGCTTCCTTCCCTTTTTATAGCAGCACATTATATTTCGCAAGCTCGTGTAATAGTTCTTTATAACAAACACTGCAGACGAGCATTCACAGAGGATTCTGTGAATCCTCTTCCTCACATTCAGTTTGTACCTGAAGAATCTCTAGTGGGAGCAAACATATAAGGTGTGTGCTAGGCCCTATTCTAAGCAATCTGGATATGTTAACTCATCAACTCTTCCAATGACTCACAAGTAAGTATGTATTAGCCACATTTTTCAGAAAAAGAACCAGAGAGGTTAATTGACATGCCCACAGTTATTACTCCAATAATAAGAGCCAGGATTTGAATTGAGTCCGACTCCAGATGCTGCCCTCTTAGCCTCCACATTCACTTGCCCTGCCTATGTCAGAAACTTCCTGAGTCTTGGAGGTTGGCTCTCCTTGAGGTCAACCCAAGAGTTTCTCTGCATGGAAGATTCTCTTGGCTTCTACTCATTCTCTGAGCCTTAGCTAAGGCCACATTTCCTTCCAGGGGTCTTCCTTGACCCTCCTCCCTCATCTTATGCCTGTAGTGTGTTCTGATATCACCTCTGCCTTCCTTTAAGACTTTGAAGTCAAATAGATCTCAATCTAAACCTTGGCTTTTCCATTTACTACGGGGTGTTGGGGCTGTTCTTTAACCTCTCTGGGTCACAGCTTACACTGCAATCACTCTCATAGGGTTTTTGCAGACTTAGATGAGATGACAGTGTAGCACTAAGTGCTCACAGTTGGCTGCCATTATTGCTGTTGCTTCCATTACATTATATTGAAACAGTCTGTCTACATGTTTGACTTCTCTATTTGAGCTGGTTGAAGGCAGGAACTGGCTACGCTCATCTCTGCATTCCCAGGATTAGTACAAGGGTCGGCCATGACAAGGCCCTAAAATTGGATCAAGTGAGCTGAAAAAATAAGCTGAACTACTGGAGGCCACTATTTAACAATGGGGAAGATGAGAATAAATCTCACTTTCTTACACCTTGGGCTCTATTCTTGCTTCTCAGAAAGCTTCTACTCACTCCTCTGTTCCAACTACCAGCTGAACCATTCCCTGCATACTGCTTCTCTAAGGATCTTCTTGGGGGTGTGGAGCAATTCTCATTTTCTCTGTCACGCCTTTAAACCACCAGGCTGCTGAGAAGGAGTAGTGATGATTCTTTACATCCTGGTTCTCAAGCTGTTCTTAGCTATAGACAGCTATCTGCAAAAATCTCTCTCTTACATATATAGATGATAAAACTGAGCTCTTCTGTAGATGCGAAATTAGGGCCCAGTCTCTGAGGCATCAAAGCTCCACTCAGGCTTAAAAACTTGCTGTTATGGAGTGAACTGTTACTGTTCTTGGGTGCCTTCAGGATCCTACATACAACAGGACAAAACACTGCCTAGTGCCGCATCATCCTCACAACTGTTGCTATGTTTGAACCCATTATTTAGCCATTCTGTCAATCCATCTTGGTGAAGGTCTTCCTCTTTTTGACTGACCCTCTACTTTACCAAGCATGATGCTTTTCCAGGTCTGGTCCCTCTGTATTATATGTACAAAGTAAGTGAAATGAAGTCTCACCATCTTTGCATCTAAGGAGAATTCTGGCTATACTTCTTCCGAGACAGATTTGTTTTTTCTTCTGGTAGTCCATGGTATAGTCAGTATTCTTTGCCAACACCATAATCCACATGGGTCAATTCTTCTTTGGTCTTCTTTATTCATTGTCCAGCTTTCACATGCACGAGGTGACTGAAAATACCATGGCTTGGGTTAAGCACACCTTAGTCCTCAAATTGACAACTTTGCTTTTTAATACTTTAAAGATGTATTTTCCAGCAGATTTCCCCAATGCAATACATTATTTGATTTCTTGATTGCTGCTTCTGTGGGCACTGATCGTGGAATTGTGTTGCCCCTCAAAATATGTTGAGATCCTAATTCCTGTATCTTCGAATATGACCCTATTTTGAAATTAGGTTTTTCTTCTGTTATGTTTATAAGGTCATACCAAAGAAGGGTGGGCCCAATTCCTAAACCTTTTTGAGTGGTTTCTTATATGTATAAAAAATAACATAGACTCATATAGAAAAAGACAACATGTGAGGATCTTTCTACAATACCAAGCTGAGCACCAAGCTGAAAGAAACAAGGAAAGATCTTCCACTAGAGTCTACAGAAAGAGCATGGCCCTATCAATGCCCTGGATTTGGACTTTCAGTGTCCAGAATTTTAAGAAAATAAATTTCTATTCTTTAAAACCACCCACCTGGAGATAT